GTGTAAATGTTGTATACCTATGCGCAAAATGAGTTGTGAATTAAAACTAGGTGGAAACAACTTTCTGGTAGATTAAATATCTTTCTATTACAATAAATTAACTGAAAGTATTTCACATTTCCGTTCAAAATGGCACAAGCACAGTTAGGTACCGATAATGTTGTCTTCCAACAATATACAAACAAACAGGGAGAAACGGAATTTAGAACGCGTTTTGGGCGAAAAAAAAGCTATGGTTTGTAGGAAACATTCAGAAACTGGATATTTCTATGTGGACCTTTATGACAACAAGCCGGGAAAAATGAAGTACAATGGGATGACGTTTGGAATGGATGAGTTAGATTGGATCATTGCACTGAGAGGAAATTTAGATTCCTTGATGTCTTGTTTTCCTCAAGTAAGTTGATTTAAGTTTTAAAATTTCATTTTTTTTTTCGTATTTGTTATAGATAATCAAATGCAGCTTGAACTACCACTCTACATTTTAAACTTTGTAAGCTAAATATGTTTTACTTTTCAACCTAAATTATTTCAATATTGACATATATTTCATTTCATTTTCAATTTAAGAATCTAACTGTTTTTTTTCCATTAATGTTAAATAAAGATCTGTCAACATTTCAAAAATATTAACCCGGATTTTGAAGTTCAGATATTTCTTACTTTTTTTTTTTTTCTTTTTTTTTTTGTTAGCAACCTTCTAACACACCACAATTTATGGGGGCTCAGATGAACCAACAACTACCAATAACCCCACCAGCTGGGTCAAAATCTAACTACATGGAGTTCAAAACAAGGTATCAACAACCAACTCAATCATCAACGTACCCACCGTATATTCCCCAGCCAATGTCACAACCTTCCACTCCATATTCAATTGCAGAGAGGGATCAATCTATGGGTATGAAGAGACCTCCAAGCAGGGACATTTACCCCGACGCACCCAAAAAGTCTAAAGTTTTAACATATCCCCGTGAGAATACCGATGAACAGTGTGAGAATATTCCACCAGAAGTAATGGATGAGTTTTTCTATAACCCTCTTAATTAAATTAGAGGAATAAAGTAACATTTTTCATTTGAAAAAAATTACCATACTGTAATTGAAATAGCAATTACTTTTTTGCTAAAATAAAAAAAATCATTTTCTACAATCTTTATTTACATTAATTTTACAAACATATATATATATATTGACGAATATTTATTATTCCAGTTTTGAAAAGTTTGGTATTTTACAATGTCCATAGGCATAACTGTTTATTTTATTTATCCAAAAGCGCTTATCATCTAAACTGCAAAGTCCCTTTTTTACAACCGTATCCATATAAAGTTCGTGGTTTTTACTGCGAATCAAATTCATTGAGTTCATTGTCACTGATTCACCGAACAGACGTTGTTTATACATCTCATGTTTAAGAGTTTTTTTAATTTCACATCTCACAATCCCTTTAGCCACCTTTTTCTCATTCTCAAACGTTATATTTTCACCATTTTCGTCTTCTTCTGCTATATCATATGTTAAACTGTACATTTTTGGACGAAGGCCAATGAATTCTTTTATGGGAGTACCTGAAAAAAAAAGAATCATGTACAATAAAGTGTAAATGGTCATTTTGAGGATAAAAAGAGTCTTATTAATTTGTATAAACAAGGTAAATATTTACTCATACTTCATATTTAAAAACATAAATTTTGAATGTCTATTTTAATTTTGCACTGTATTGAAACTTACCAGACATTTCATCCTTCATTCTACCCGGGACTTTTTTGTAAGCACTACAAAATAAGGGATGATCTTTGGGGTAATTCGAGGTATCCAAGTGCTCTGAAATGGTTTGCATATCCTGGTATACATCTTTGGTTTGGATTTCATAACACAAGGAATCTGTTAGAAATAAATCGTAATAAAGTGTTAAAAATGTGTTTTTACAAGAGAAATAAAACTTCACTTTTTCTTTTTTTTTCTTTTTTTTTTTTAATGGATTGTAGATATTACCTGTCTATCTTTCCATAACATAGTTCTGATTGCATTTAATGACCATAAATAGATAAATTATTACCTGTGTCAGTAAAGAGTAAGTTGATTTTATCTCCATACATGGGTTTCATCACATCATAGTGGAATGTATACATCAGCCTTTTGGAAAGATCTAAAATGGCTTGCCCAACATAGATGGGTTTGTTTAAGACGAGATTCACTTTTTTGTTTAACACTCCAACTAGGTCTTCGTTGAAAATCTGAAATCTCTCAAAGGATGGCTTTGATGCATATTTTTTGAGAGACTCTGGTGAAGATATCAGTTTGAAATTTATACGATCCCGAATATTTTCCAGACATTTTCCGAAAACGCTGCAAAATAAAAACAAAACAAAATAATTTCACTAATTAACAAATTCATCAATCACATATATTGCATTTGTTTGGTTGTTCATTTATTTTGGTTCGAGCGTCACTGATGACTCTTAAATAGACAAAACGTTCGTCTGGCGTATAAAATTATTTTCCTGGCATCTTTAATGACATTTGAATGTATAATATTAATATTCGTGTACTTTTTCTTTTGAAAACATATAAGGAAGATATAAGGAAATATTGTCCATATATATATATGCATAAACCTATATAAAATCGCTTGATATAAGAAATAGTGCTTACCTGTTACACATTAATTTGAAAAAATCCCTTTCAAAATCGTTCCTTGAGAGCTTTCGTCTATCCGAGTTAAAGGAGATGTAAGTCTTTAACCATGGGGTTTGGTGGAATGATAGTATTCTGTGTATCTTGGTAATTTTTAACCCCAATTTTTCATACAACTGCAAGTTCTGATAATGAACGATATAATGTGATTTATCCTCTAATGTCGGAATGAGCTTTGTAGTTTTCACTCTAGATTTGCTTTCTCCATTTAGTTTTCTCCATAGACTCTGACTGTAGGTGAAAGCTTTTCATCACTGATCAATTTGTGAGATGGTGCAAGTGGATAACAGTTCTGTATGTCATGGAGATGAGGGGGATATTCCAAGTCCACTTCTAAAATGTAGCCTTCTTCGGAATCTTGAGCAATTTTTTGAAGGTCTCAATTTCGTCTTCAGATAGAAAACGCACAAGACCAGTAGGTAAAGGTTGAGACATTGCCCATCCGTAAAGATTGTTTGCATCCAAATACATGATGTGTTTCGATTCCTTAGAATCGTCGAAGTCGTCTAGGTGTTAATGATTTGCTTTGCAATACTTTTTGCAAACCATACTAACCCCTCCGCGGGTTCCAATTTCAAACATTTGGTACATGAATGGGTCTGTTAGTAATTCAAGAGATATTCCACTCATTTTTAATGCAGCCTGCCACGCGAGGCCTGGAGAAGTGTAAAACCAAGCCGCGTCTAGTTTATAGTATTCTAAAGTCATGTCTCTGAATCGTTCGAAAACATCACATAGAAGAAGTGTATCCGTAAGCACATAGGTATTATGGAAGTCACCTAGATTTTTCATGTTCAAAGTGTTCCATACAGTTTGCGCATGCTCGTATTTGCTATCGGAAATAGGCTCTTTCGTCAGTGAATTGTAGAAAGCCTCTTTTGGGGGTAATGTTGTGTCATTGAATTTTTCAGCACAGTCAACATAGTCATAGCAGTATTCGTTTTTCTGTAACAAGAGTTTTGCTATATCATCATTTGGAAAAGCCTTTCTAACCTGTTTAAAATGTGTTAAATCATCTGCAGCTAAATTGTCAACCAAAGTCTCTAATGAACTGCCCATAAATTGATATGTATCTAAAAATCTTAATTTCCCCAGTGAAAAGCTGATGTATCGTTCAGTGTTCTGAGCAATGACGTTTAGTTTTTTATCTTTTTACTTCCCTGCTTCACTCATTAGTAAATGCATGTCAAAGCCACGTAAGTTGTGGAAGAAAATCGGTATGAAAGATGGATGTTGGAGATTCAGATTACAGTTTACATGGGCCGCTCCACGGAAATTTGTGTACGATTTCTGATTTACCGGTACATCTCCACAGCCTAAATGATCATGGTCCCTAACTTTAATCATTTTGTCAGTAAACGGGTGTTCACAAACATAACAGTGAGTTGCATCCTGAAACTCTCTTTCAGCTGCTTCATTCATAATAAGGGGTTCAATTTGACTCAACTTTTCACTAATGTATTCCTCTTCTTTCAACATATCATCCAAAAAATGTTTAACAGCGTCTGGTCCTCTATAGACAACTGGAGGTTTGGAATACTTATCATTGGAGCTAACAACTACGTAGGAATAACCGCAAGCTTAAATTTCGTTTTATGTGTCGTTGATGGCTTATTTTGATCTGGTTCACAATTCAACAGTTTCCGTGCATAACATTCGAAATCTGCATACACGACAAAGGGTACTCGAATCTGTTTTTCATAGTCTTTAAAGGATAAAACATCTTTACCTCTTTGGGGGAATTCAACTTTCTGATAACTAAACTGGTCACAGTACACTCTATGATCGTCTAACAAATCCTTCCTTGTAAACCCATGTAAAAATCTACGACAGTAAAAACGTTTGTTACAGAACCTAGTCATAGACCCGAGAAATCGATCTAAATTTTTTATCCAACAATAATGAGATTTTTCCTCATTGGCTAGATAAAGTAAATCCACTTCTTTATATCCATTCTCTAATTTTGTTAAGTACAGTGGAAAAACTTCACCCTCTTCAAATCCAAATACGTTTACAGATATTTTGTTTTGCTTTTCAAATTTCTCAATTTTGGCTAGAGAGACTGGATACTCAATATCAGTCATGTTGAGTTGGCTTTCAAAAGGTTTATAATGATATAATTCTTGCTGATTATTTGGAGCTGGATGTAATGCTGCCAATACAGACCATAGAAAGCATTTCTGATCATCGTTTTTGATGTTGATGACACCACGACTAAATCTAATTTTTCGAGGTAATTCAATGTAGCCGGAGCCTGCAATGGGTGAGTATTTTACTGTATTTACTTCAAGACTCATTACTTTGTTTACAGTCCAATTGCTTCCTTTATTCACAAACTCTTCAAGTGCTTTGTTGACTGATTGAAATGCTTCATTTATATTATGATCATTGTTTCCATTTGGTAAAGAAATGTAGTATTTACTTCTGAAATGAGGGACAGTTTTGTCTTGTTCACCATTATCAACGTCCCTCATCATTTCTACTCTTCCAATGACACTCCATTTAATACTATGGTGTTTTTCACGTTGAAATATTAATTCCTTTTCTACATCATCTTTTACATTTGCTAAAAATTGTAGAAGATCATATTTTTCGTTGGCTGTTGGAATAATGTCAACCTGTTTTACTAAATCTTTGAGTGCGCTTTTCTTAAATTTAAATCTTTTCTGCTCTTTTTTCTTCTGATTCATTTCAGGTTCTTGAACGCTGTTTCCTGAGAGCTGAGGATTGCGACCTCCAGTTTGATTTAAGGGATGGTTAGCAGTAACATGTTGGAAAAGACTATCATAGTCATGAAAAGGTATTCCACAATGCTTACAGGTATGTCCTAATTCTTTTATATGTACAGTTGAAGCTACTTTACTTCTACTAGCAGACACAGGTTTAGTTTTTTCCAGTTTTTCACACTTTTCTTTATGCCTATTCAAAGTAGTTTTTCTAGTGTACGTTTTATTACATTTTTCTCACCTAAAAGTTGAAAAGTGACTATGTAAGTGACGATGTAGTGTTCTCTTATGTTTGTACACTTTATCACAGACATCACATATGAATGAGTTTTTTTCGGGTTTTTGTCTTTTCCTTTCAATGTCTTCATAGCGTTTTCGTTTACGTTTTCTTGATTTAGAATTATAATCTTGTTCGATTTCATCAGCAGCTTGCACTAACAAATTCTCATCACAGTCCCTGAACTCGGTACAAGTATCAGCAATTTGATTTCTTAATGTGTGAAGTTGGTTTTCTAATCGTTTATTTCCATGCTGATTACTTTTCATAACATAGTCTATGAATGCTTGAGCCATGTTTTATAGATAATTATTCCACAACATATCAATGTAAACTGATTGAATTTTATGATAAAGATGTTCTTTATATAGCTGGATTAACATTATAATCTGATGACATCATTATTCGTTTTTCACATGCTGGTGTATAAAGTATGGTGGCATCTACCACACTATACATGGTTGATGCAATACGGATCACTATATTGGAAAGGATAACCACTTATTCTTTAAGGTCAGTTTTTTATTTTTATGATTTAAAACTTGATTAGGTGACATTTTAACATAGGCTTTTCCTCCACCATTTTGCCAATTTACATCACATTTTCTTTTTTCTGTTTTTTTTTTTACCAATAACGGTGGATTTATTTTAGCTTGTAAAGTTGTTTTCTCATTGTTTCCATTTATCTTTCCAAAATCATTATTATTAAGCTTTTCATTTTCAACTGCGTTTTCACTTTGTGTTAGTAAATCATTATAAATTGAATTACCATTGTTGATCAAGTTATTTTCCGTTGATTTTGATTCTTTATTTTTCATAGAGTGATCATTTTGATTTTGCATATTTTTATCCTCCATTAATTCTTCTTGGTTTATTAGTCTTTCATATCTTGCTTTAGGAATTAGTATTAATTCACGTGACATAATGCAAATAGTCTTTGAAGAAAATGGGTAATAGTTTCCTAATTTTAACCAATAACAGCTTTCTCTGTCCACGTGTTGTACTTCTGGAGACAATTTTACGTATGCGGGTTTTGTGTTTCACTAGTACCTTTTTATCCATCTCTGAGATTGAACAAACCTCCTGCACCACATTATAAATTATTTCAATAATAGTTTGCAGCTGTTCCTTTGTCATAATCTTTAAAAATGATTTCAGTTGTTGGTGGGACACATCCAATAAAAATAGAACAAAATGCGTTTTTTCTTCTTGTCTCATTTTATGGGTTGATACACAATGGTGGACTGTCCTGGTAGAATGTCTGTTCGCAACTGATAGGAAGTATCAGTGTGGGGGTTCAAAGAGATATCCATATGGTTTTGAGCAGGTTTTTTGAAAAGCATCCATGAAAAATTTAGATTTACCAGGAAGAATTTGTCGCCCAAGGCAAGCTAGCTGTGATTGGTCTCTCTTATTTTTGAATATACATAGATAATGGGCTTGAAGAGATGCTGTTCTCATACATTTGCCCTTTTGAAATAAGTTTTGTAAGATGTGTACGACAGTGATTTGATTGTGATGAGATACCACGCACATTAAATGTGCAAGCTCAGAACTGTCTGCAGCATCCATCATTAAATCATCAAATACTACAATTTTGAGACCGTGTACTGCACCCCATTCGGATAATATGTCCATGGAGGGTAGTCCTTGATGCTTGAAATCTCATTTTTCATCTCGTCATACAAAGATTGATATATGGTATAGCAGAAAAATATTTTTGATGGCGGTATTTTAAACATATCATCAGCATGTTTAAGAATTTTTTTCGTTAAAACTGATTTACCACTGTTGTTTGGCCCAACAACAAATAAAGATGTAGGGGATTCAAATTTGATTAAACTTTCGTGTTCCCACCAGTCAACCATTCTGTTTGATGTCTTTTCATGAAATGAGAATACAGTTATAATATGACGTATTTTATATTTTTTAGGTTTTGAAAGACAGACAACTAGTAAGTTTGATATATTTATTCATGACATTATATTTAATGTTCACATGTACATTTTTGGAAACCATTATTAATAGAAGATATACAACAATAAAAACGATCATCGATAAAATTATACACAAATTGATCATTCAAAAGAAGGTTTTGGTTAAACATGTCTATGATATGCTCCATAGACCAACCTCTAGTTCGACACATTAAGTAATACAAACAATATTGTCCACACACGCTAGTGGCATTACTTTGAAGTCGTTTGGAATTCACTTTAAGTCTCGAATATTTTAACATGAAAAGTTTAAAATTAATATAATACTGATCTGGTGACTTTCCATAGGAATCAAAACATTCTAAAACTCCATTGTCATTAAAAAATGCTATCCAGTGTGTACCAGGTCGGTGTTTAGGATCCGTATTCGCTATAAATCCAGTTGAAGGTTGTAAAAGTGTAGGTATTTCATCCGCTGCATAAACACCACAAATTACCTTTTTCATTCTAAAGTCACAGTCAATAGCACACTGTATTTGACGAGTATTCATTCTAAAATGACACCTCTTTCAAGGTTGATTTCAAAATAACTGGGATATTCTGCATACACCACACAAGCTGTTGCTTTTTTGAGAGGTTTTTGAAAGACTGTTTCCAAAGAACATGTCCCTTGTTTTAAAAGATTTAAGTATGAACCTTCATCGATTGATTGATTGATTGTTGTTTGCTTTACGCCGCATTAGCACAGAAAGGCTATATCGCGGCGAGTGCTAATTCGAATATTATAACAATTTAAGGTATATTTTTAAAATCAGACAAAAGGTCTTTCAATAAACTAAAATTCTAGACTAAAGCAAATTGGTTATTTACAAATAAAAATCAACACTAAGATAACGTGATAAAAATTAAAATCGTTTTAAATATAACAATATTTTTATATTTTATGATATATTCCAATTTCTTTTAAGAATGAAACAATATTTGTAAATGGAACATTATTAAATAAATCATACATATTATTGACATTGAAATGCTTCTTCCGAATATCAGCAAAGTCAATACAATGAATTAAAACATGTTTAATAGTATACTTGCAGTTGCAAGGTACACATTGTGGTTCATCTTCATTTTTTAAAAGATACTCGTGTGTCACTCTAGTATGACCAATTCGGCATCTAGAAATAACACACTGATCTTTTCTGCACATTAAATTATTAAAAGTTTTACCTAAATTAGGTTTAATTTCATGTAATTTGTTACCATCTCTCTTACTCCATTCATTTTTCAAAATATTAAAAACATATTCTCTAATATTAGATTTAAAATCGGTATATGGTATATCACAGTTAGATAAAGTGTCACCCAGGGCATTCTTTGCCTCAAGGTCTACAGCTGTGTGTCCATGGATTCCAACATGACTCGGCACCCATAGAAATATTATTTCTTTAAGAAGAATTTTTAAACTCCTCATTACATATAAAATTTTGAGAATTGTTGGGTTTTTAATTTTAGTATTTTGTATAGCTTGTAAGCATGAAAGTGAATCAGAACATATAATAAATTTGGATTTATCTGAAGAAGCAATAAATTTCAAAGCCAAAATTATTGCTTCTGCTTCAGCAGTAAAGATGGATGCAGCAGATGGCAAACGGAGAGTTGCAGCTCTGTCCCCGAAGACAGCAGCAGATGCAACTCTGTCACCATCTTTTGATCCATCAGTATAGACAGTTGAAAAATCTGAATAATTGGCTTTAATTTCAGCATAGTGTTGCTGAATTAAAAGAGGATTTGTTTCATTTTTATTGTGTTTACGGAGATCAAATATCATTTTTGGTTTGGGAAGTTCCCATGGAGGACATTTGCAAGTTTCAACTTGAGCAACAGATTTTAAATCAAAAGTAGCTAAATGTGGTTTTAAACGTATACCTAACGGAGGAATTTTGTTTTCATGTTTTGCAAAAATATCTTCATAAATTGGATTTAAAACACAGCTGTAGGCAGGATTATCTGAATAGGCTTTTAGTTTGACAGCATATTGAAGTCCAAGCTTCAAACGTCTGTCAAAAAGTGAATGCTCATCAGCCTCTACATACAGACTCTCAACTGGTGAGGTTTTAAAGGCGCCAAGACAGAGACGCAAACCCTGGTGGTGCACAGCATCGAGAATCTGTATGTAGGACTTCCGTGCAGAGCCATACACTATAGAACCATAATCTAGTTTGGATCTAACTAGAGATCTATATAAATTAAGTAAAATGTTGCGATCAGCACCCCAGTCGGTGCTGCCGACAACTTTTAAAATATCTAATGCTTTTAAACATCTTGATTTTAACATTTTGATATGGGGGAGAAAGGTTAATTTTTTATCAAAAACTAACCCTAGAAATTTATTTTCATCAACCATTTTAATTGGGTTTCCATATAAAGTGAGTTCTGGATCAAGATGCAATTTCCTTTTGTTACAAAAATGCATCCCGACCGTTTTTGAAGTAGAAAATTTAAAACCATTTTCCGAGGCCCATTTTTCAATTCTTCCAAGACATAATTGTAATTGTCTTTCTATGTTATTCATATTTTTGCCTCTGTAACATATTAGAAAATCATCAACGTACAATGAACCTTCAATATTACTTTTTAAAACTTCAACAAGGCTGTTGATTTTAAGACTAAATAATGTAACTGATAAAATAATCCCCTGAGGGACACCCATCTCTTGATCGTACAGATCAGACATGGTTGAATTTACTCTAACATTAAATTGTCTGTTAGACAGAAAATTCGAAATAAAATTTGGCATATTGCCTTTCAACCCCATATCAAACAGATCTTTTAAAATACCATACTTCCATGCAGTATCATAGGCCTTTTCAAGATCGAAAAAGACCGACACCACATGTTCATTTTTCGCAAAACCATTACGGACAAATGATTCGAATCGAACAAGATGATCAAGAGTACTGCGACCTTGTCGGAATCCACACTGGATATGGGCTAAAAGCCCATTTGATTCCAGGAACCAAACAAGGCGATCGTTGACCATCCGTTCTAGTGTTTTACAGACACAACTGGTAAGAGCAATTGACCGATAATTAATAGGATCCGTGTGATCTTTACTTGGTTTTGGCATAGGCACGACGGTTGCAAGCTTCCAGATTGATGGTAAATCACCAGATTCCCAGATCTTATTCATGAGCTGCAAAAGAGCTTCCAGCGAGGAATCTGGCAAGTGTTTTAAGAGTTGGTAGTGAATATTATCAGGTCCACAAGCTGTATCATGGGCTTTTGACAGAGAAAAGAGTTTATTATAAGTTTCACCATTTTTTGATTTAAAGTTCAACTTTATTTTTTCTTTTTGTTTTTTAACTTTTTTAAAATCTTCCCTGTAGTTGTTAGAAGAAGAAGATTTCGCAAAAGTTTCACCAAGCTTGTTGGCAATATCCTTTTCAGATGTTAATAAATCATTGCCATTTTTTAAATGTTTTACTGTGGCTTTAGAATTTTTACCTTTGATCTTTTGTATCATGTTCCATACTTTTGTCATCGGAGTGCGAGATGTTATCCCCGAGACAAATTTCTTCCAAGACGTTCGTCGTGCTTGCCTACAAGTCCGACGTGCCTTAGCGCGAAAAATACGGAAATTACTCAAGTTTTCCGTCGTTGGTTGTTGATTAAACCGTCTTTCAGATTTTTTACGGTCATCTATTGCTTGATCACAAGCGTCATCAAACCATGGTTTGCTGGGATGTTTTTGATTTGCCGAGGTCTTAGGAATAGTTCTGTCAGCAATTGACGTCAAAACTGTGTTAAAAGTTAAAATTGGATCTTGTACAGTCTCAAACATCTTTGAATGAAGTTCCGCTTTACAGAGATTCTCAAACAAGGGCCAATCCGCCTTGTCAAGTTTCCAACGTGGTACTCTCTGTTGAGCAGAAGTAAAAAGATGTCCAAGTACTATTGGAAAGTGATCACTTCCACATAGATCATCATGAACACGCCATGAATAATCCAGAAGAAGAGAGGGATCGCAAATAGTGATATCAATAGCAGAATAAGACCCGTTTCCAGGATGAAGATAAGTATTAGATCCATCATTAAAAATGCATAATCCTTCTTGAGAGACAAAGTCCTCAATGATCTTACCTTTGGCATTATGAGACTTGCTTCCCCACAAGGGATTGTGGGCATTGAAGTCGCCCATAAGTATAAATGGTGAGGGTAATTGATCAGTGAGGTTTTTGAGTTTTGTTTGATCTATAATTGAATTGGGTGGAATATATATAGAACATAATGTAATTGTTTTATCTAATGATAAACGAATTGCAACTGCTTGCAGATCCGTGGTGAGTTGGACTGTGCTATGAATGACGTTGTCCTTCACAAAAATGGATGATCCGCCTGCAGCACGTTCATCTACCTTAGAAAATGTGCTATACATGTTGTATCCTTTTACAGATATATTGTCACTTTCATTTAGATGAGTTTCTTGAAGACAAAATGCAATAGGTAAAAAAGACTCAACTAGAAGCGTTAACTCGAGAAGATTTATTTTAAGACCTCGGCAATTCCATTGGATGATATTAGTCATGTTTTGTTAATAGACGGGCGAATGCTATCGAGTTTGCCAGCATTCTTATTTCGCTCACCCTGAGATTGTAATCTTTCGGGTGGCGGAACACTTTCGATTTCCATTTCTGATTCGTCGTTAAGTGTTGAAAATCTGTTGTGTGAGGAGAGTCGTCGATCTCCAGGACCATGCGCAGCTGGTTTTACTCCGCCTCGACCCCTACCCCGCGACCTCGAATCAGAAGACTTCTGAGAGGATGTATTTGCTGGCTTCTTTGGGACATCCTTCTGTTCTGGAGAACGAAGAGGAGACGGTGCTTTAGAAGACTTTGTACTGGATGCAGAAGATAAACTAGTTTTATTAGATGCAGATGAAGGAGGACTACTGGAGATGGAAGAATCATCTATGTCACTGGGAAGATCCCAGACAGATTCACCGCTCCAACTGTCTGATTTAACTGTATCTTTTTTATTTGATTTCTTTTTTTCATTTATTTTAGATGATGACATTGAGCTCTGTAAGGAAGATTGAGTTGACTGAGTACTGGTTTTAGAAGGTGTTGGTTTTCTTGGAATTAATATTTTATCGTTAGGTTCTGTTTCAACAGGCAGCATTGTAAATGTCTCAGCATCAATTGGCCAGGTCATGCGAGTTTGTGTATGCTCGTGACTGAATGAGCGGACAACTGGCGTACGATGGTCTGTTCGAAACAAGGAGATCATTCGAAACAGAAGCTATCTGTTTAGCTTCTGGGTAACTGATGTTTCTTTCTGTTTTAATTTTGATAATATTTTTTTCTTTAAGGTAAACAGGGCAGTCCCTAGATGATGAAAAATGGGATTCACTACAGTTTACGCATTTAGAAGATTCAGAGCTACAGGTTGTTCCCTCGTGTCCTTCGTCAGAACACTTGAAGCATCTCTGCGTACCACGACATTGTTTGGTTCCATGACCAAACTTTTGACAAGTGAAGCATCGAATTGGGTTAGGGATAAACCTGTCAACTCTGATTCCGAAGCAACCAAAAGTAATAGATGGAGGAGGAGTTGGAGTTCTAAATGTCAAAAGATATGTATTTAATTTGATTATATTTCCATTCTTTTTTATTTGAAATCTAACAACATCAGTTACACCTTGGCTTGAAAGTTCCTCACAGATTTCTTCCACGGTAAGGTCACCAAGGTATTGACTTCTGTCTCAAATGATCCCCTTACAGCTGTTCAAACTGTTGTGAGGAGAGGCAGAAACAGGAAAGTTTGTAATTGTTGTCAGTGTAAGCAAATTTGTTGATTGACTTTTGTTGGAACATTCAACCAACAAATTGCCTGATCTCATTTTTGAAACTTTTTTTACAGTACCAGCAACGCTTTGAATTTGTTTGTGAATCACAAAGGGAGATATTTTGGAAATTGGTTTTTCATCTGTTCCTTTTATTACAATAAATCTGGGCCAACTGTCATCTTCCTGACAGGGCACTGAATCATCACATTTTCTTTTTTTATGTATTAAAGCTGATTTAGAGGGTTGGTTTTGTTGTGCCATAGGAAATGAGAAAGATTCACCATTCTTGTCATCCACCCACCTCGGAGTGCCTACAAGGGCAATGCTGTGTTTCCGTGGTGAGCCGGGGTCAAGTGCTAATGCTGAAAACGAGCTCCAAGTATAACATGTATAACGTAGCTGGTCCCCAAAATTAGCACCCAAGATCCACTGCGGAAAGCACCAGATGTTCCAAGAATAGTATACTCAAGCAGAGCGTATCCATTAAGCGAAATAGAAAGCGTACCACTTGATTGACCCATGAGCCATCGCCTTCTTCAGTTATCCGAAATATAAATAGCTTAATTTAAAACACGTGTATATAACGAAAATTGTTACAAGAAAGCTTATTGTTGAGGATTAACTGAAGGGCTCGACATGACCAGCCGATTGATCGAACCGGGTCCATCCGACCTCCCGTTTAGATGATATTTGAGCCAAAGCAGCTTATTGAACTAAAGTCTCGTCCGTCCGGGTATTTTCTGACCGTAAGGAGTCTGGCTACAGCCCTCATCCGCAAGGATCTCGTCAACCACCGACACGGGTAGCAACCCACGGCCAACGGGTTGGAGAGCCTATTTTATTCAAAACATCGGGCAACTCGTACGATGTTCGGATCACTTTAGTCTGGTCTCTACCCTTCGACCTGTCCAGCATGGGTAACCCTACCAGGAGACGGAGCTCCAACTGGCATAGCTCTAGGGGTCACTGAGACACGCATGCCCCCCGACCACGGCACGGATAGCGATCCACCGGGGGGAACCTTCATCGATAAAGTTCGGTTCCACATCAAAACAGTACAGTGCATTTCCTCCAGCTATGTCATTTCTGCTTAGCTGATTTCCAGTGTATTTCATCCATTTATTAGTTACTTCAAACATACTTATAAATGCCGGTAATATTGTTCGTCCTGGAGTATTGTAATTGAGTTGCATTATATTTCCAGACACTGGTACTTGATTTAGTTTAAGAGCTATTTGACTGAGATTGAAATGTTGAAAGTTAAATGGATTGAGCTCATAACTTCCAGCTGCAGCTTCAGCATCAACAAATCCGATGACGACACGGGTAGGTCTTAATCCATTGAATAAATTATTATAATTAAAACTAAGGCTTCCTGCTGGTATATATATAAGACGCACTTCTGTCCTGGTGAAAGGGTATTTCGCATTAGTCGTCTTCAGCTTTTCCGCATGTGCAGTTATGATTGAGGGTAAAACTTGCAACTTACAAATTTTTAAAACAACTTCTTCCAAATACACCTCGAAAAGTGGTGACCCTTCACTTCTCATGAGACAAAACTCAGGTCTAGATTTATACAGCTTAACATTAATGGCTACAGAATTTAACATGAATCTATCTAAATCAAACAGATGATGTAAGAGTGGTCCCTCCATGTCACATGTTTGCGATTCGGTAAAATATAGGGAACGATTATAAAGTGAAGTGTTGGATCCATTTTTAACATCATTATCATCGTAATGCCCTGATAGGTCTCTCAGATATAGCTGACTGGTTAGCTGTGATTTCTTGGCATCAGTACCATAGGACAATAAGTTCTGAATCATAGCTATGTATGGATAGTGTGTGGTCGTAGACGTGATGAGTTTGTTCTGGACTGTTACATTTACTTGTGAAAACATGGAATGGAGAAAATTGTTCACTGGCCCAACATATTCAGTTGCTTTTAAATTAACTCCACTAGCATGTTTAATCCTGGCTTTCACATAAAGTCGACTTCTTTTTAAGTCAATATATTCCAAAGAATTTTGAGCAGCTATGATAAATTCTATGGGTGAAGAACCACTAAGTTGAGAGGTTGATCTAACTTCATCATAATGTATTCTCTCCACTGATGTCATGGTTGGAGGGAGTGAAAATAAGACGAGTCCGCTAGGCTGTGCTTCTTGAAATTCTTCAGTAGTTAAAGCAGCCATTATTTGCTAAAGATATCTTTTACGGAAGATTTCAACAGTTTTTTTCTTTTTTAAACTGATCTTTTTACTTTTGCTTTTAACAATTTTTTTCACCACCTTCTTGTTTAATTTTTTCGATCTTTTTATAGTAGATTTTTTCACTTTTGGCGTCTGCTTTCGTGAACGTTTCCTAGTAGAACTGACACTTTTATTTGATCTTTTTCTTTTTATACCCTGCTGTAACTGATTTCTCTCCACTTCATCTTTAGCCTGATCAATGGTTTGCTGCACTGGGGATACTAATTTTACTGTAACTTATTGTGTTCACCTTTATGTAGAGGTCCTATTGGTGTTATAAATTGGGGGGAAGTTCCCGAGAGTGATCCCCCGCCTATCTGCTTCCCACCTCGATGTGCATAATCTATATATGGATTTCGTCCATTTTTACCGAGGTTTTCATAATAATGAATCCATTTTTCTGTATTTGGTATGTACATTTTGTTGATATTCATTGTTTAGAAAAATGGGAACGATTTAAAATGAAGTGTAACGGTTGAAGGATGATCCAAAAATGAAGCCAAAATGTCTTTACTCGTTGTTATATTGATATCTATATCATAAATGTTTGTGTTTTTTACAGGAACGTAATGTGCTGCTTCTACAATGGTCAACCAATTTCCAACACTGTCTGCAGGCAATCTCCGTAAAAGAGGTTTCTTTTCACCCTCAACTATGGATTCTCCACATATATTTGAATACAGGTAAATTGCATCCATCCCTGAGCTAGTGCATGAAATATCTGCCTCTACTAAAGCAACCCTCCATACCCCTTCAAGAAGAAGTGGTGCACTTAAATGAGTTTTGAATTTGTATGGTTTATTATGTGGGTAATAGTCTAATGATTTATCACTACTCATAGCTCATCTTTACTGGGTGGTGTTCTGTGGGTCAGTGATGTCTTTTTCATTAATCCATTGATTATATTTATCGGGCCATCCTTCAAATTTCACCAACCATTGAATTTTCCCGTTCTGTTTACGTTTTCTAATTTTCTTTTCTATATACCATAAAGTATTTTCATCCTTATCAACCTTTTGAAGTTCGGATTCTTGAAAATTTCCACTCACCAAAGTATTATCAAAGCTAGAAATTCTGTATACTGGTAGACCTTGCATTCGAAATCTTGTTCTAATTTTGAATATTTCTCTGGTGAAATGTTCATCAAATGACCGATCAAATACAGAGTGAATTCTAGCAAGTCTAACAAGATCTTTGACTTTATAACGAAATTTTCGAGGTTTCCTAGGCTTTTTAGGTTTTAAATACATGAAAGCCCACAAGTCTGCTTCATTTGTTTTATTGACGTCTTTAGGCGCGACATTGTTTAAACTTCTGTGAGGTGTTGCATTGTAGGTGGTAACCAAATCTTGCAGTACATCGACATATCGATGCGTTCTTTGCTTGGAGAAATAACGATACATCATATTTTTTATTGTGTTAATCACTCGTTCAGCATAATTAGCTTTAGTTTCAGAGTTTTCGGTGGTAAAATAATAAATTGTTTTTTTCTTTTTAAAAACTTTTTCATAATGTTATTATCAAACTCTTTGCCTTTGTCAGAACGAATTTTGTTTGGCATGTGTTCTTCATTCAGTATTGTTTGTAAAACATTTACAACTTCTGTTGCTGTTTTATTTTTCAGAGGTTCAACCCACAGATATCGGGAAAAGATGTCAATGACAAACAGAAGATAGTGCACACCTGTATTTTCACTGGATATGTTAGAGACATCAGCCAAATCCACATCAAATTGATCATACATTCCAGAAACAACGACCCGGGGTCTTTTGAAGTGCCGTCTAAGCTCTTTTCTCAAACTATAACTATCTTGATTGTGAAGCCATTTTCGAATTTTGTGTTTTCCAATATTGGATATTCCTTTAGATTTCAGAACTCTGTGAAGTTTATCTGGACCTAAATATGAACCTGCTTTGGACAAGTGATAATATGTTTTCTCAAGCAGTTTTTCTGTGCTCATCTTGAAAGAAAATCATAGAATAAAAGTCGAAAGGAGATGATGTGCTTATATATTGTAAACAAATATATTTGTAGTAATTGTGTATAAATAAATCATATCTTGGTAATAATGGCTGATGTTTCAAAACAAAGTATTGAGTAAAATTATTTAATTTATAGAATAGCACACAAATAAATATACATATAGCATTCATATAACAAAACAAACACTACAAAAATGTACATTGACCAACACTATTGTTCATCCAACAAATGAATGGCTGGTTTGATAAGCAAAGGTAAAAGTTTATGAAATGCTAGCATAGTCCGTTTTTTCCTGATTACACCAATTCGTGGGTTTGCTAAACATCGCATTGTCTGTTTGTACTGCTTGAGTTTTTGTTTGTGTAAATTGTTGACAACAAGTCTTCTTTGAAGAATTAGTGAGGTGATGTCGGAGATTGCATAACACTGGTCCCCAGACATAGATTCAATAATAAGTTTTCTTTCTCGTGGTTCAGCATAATACAAATCTTTGAGAAAAGCAGCGTTACGAAATATACGTCTGTTCATGTTGAATGTTCACAATTGACTAATATTTATTCCTTTTCTAGTCTACACTCAAGTAATAAAAGTCTTTCAGTCGTCTCTCGTAAAGTATTCGACTTTGGTTTATGAATGCTACACCAATCATCAAATTGTTCAAACACTTTACTTCTGTAGTGCTCTGGTATATCCATAAGACTAATTTGATTCTGAAGTTGTATTTTTATGTCCTTCTCATCTATTTTGTTGAAAGTAGTATCAAAATAAGTGTCTAAATGTTCAAGTTTTGTCCACATTATACAGGTGTGCTGAATCTGACTTGGATGATCCACTTCACATCCATAACAGTTTTCTTTCGCTACATAATTAAGTTGTTCTAATATAACTCTAGCATACAAAAACTGGAGAGTGTGCTTAAAATATCTTTCAACTTTATCAAAATCCATAGCGACTGTTTCAGATGAGTGCATATCAAAATCCATAGCGACTGTTTCAGATGAGTGTATACATTAAAATGACTACAAATTACATTCTTCAATTTATATAAGTCTGCTAGTGACGTCATCTAAAATGGATAAGCTGGCGCAATTATTGAACCAAGTTGCTTGTTTGATACCATTTTAGCGAATAAACAGTTTGGTTCCCATTTTGAATGTTCATTTTCAATGATATCCGATTCGTCCCATTGTTTTATAGTAACACCACAACAGAAACAGGTTACCCAATCTCCAACATTGGTGTAATAAAATCCATTTTTGATCAGATTTGAAGGTTTCTGAATGAGTTGCTTAGGCCAATTTTCAAACGTTTGTTCTCTGCTAATGTAATATGCCATGTGTGGGTGTACAGGGTTGAAACGAAACATTGAAGATATACATGAATCCGTCTCCACATCCATTTCAAATGGTAAATCAAAAGTAAAATTCAACCTTTTATACTCTTTTTAAGTTCAACGGATGACATTTTCTTGAACTATAATTTCACTGTTTATTGAAGAAATTCAACTTATAGGTCATATTTCCAAACTTCAATACTGAAAAGGTGGTGATCGTAAGATTGCCGCAGCATAAATAAATTCTGTTTCTGTGTTTTTAGGAAGAAAATATATATCTCGGTAGTTTTTACTGCAAAGGCAAATACATTATGAATCTGTTGTACAAAACAAAACCCACATATCTCTAGAAACAAAACTGGAACACATACAGAATTTACAACATATACATATTTTCACTTAACATGCTTCATCATGATTGTGTTGCACCCCCCCCCCCCAAAAAAAAAAAAAAAAAAAAAAAATGTTGCGCCACCCTAGAAAAAAAAATGTTGCGCCACCTTCAAAAGTGCTGTGCCAACCTAGCACCACCCTTGCGCCAGGGCGCCACCTGCCAATATCATGGTTCTTATACTACTTATAATGCATGTCAATTATCATTATTATTATCATTAATCATGCATGATCAAATTTTGATTTGGATCCGATTTTCTGACATCTTATTACAGCACAGAAAACCAATGATTTTTAAAAGCTAATACCGAAAATTAGGTACATGAAGAAGTAAATTTCCTAACTGAACAATTTTTTCAAATTTATTAATGTTAAATCAATAATGGTATGCCGCTAATGGTAACAATGATACAACTTTAATTTAAGAACAAAGTTCCAATTTCCTCCGCGTTGCACGTAATTTATCCAACAAAAGGCAATAACCAACAATTTTTTGTTTGTTCTTTAAACCTTTTTACAAATGGCAGTGGCTATTTTACCGGTCTTAACCAAGATTAAAATAGAAGTATAGAAATTAAGAATAGAAAAAATATAGAAACATACACTTCAATAAGAAATCTCTATACAACTGAACTATGTCTTCTTTAAACATTTATACAAAGCGTGCATATTAAAATTGATATTCTTTACTTTTAATAAGTGATACTAGTACTTTTGTACTTTTTTTCTTTAATAGGAAGTCTAAAAAATATTTCTTTTAAAAAAAATATATAATACACATAAGCAAAGCATACGAACCCATATAAAAAAATCGACATTCTGATTAAAACTTTTAATAAAAATATCCTGTTAGTTTTGAAACAAAAAGTAACACCCAACAACCTCAAACTGCTTTACGAGAGTTACAAAACCAGTGCCTTGCTTTATGGTGAATTTCTTTTTAAGTCTGGCACCAGAAAGGTGCTGCCACTGCAGACATGAACTGAACATAACGCTTGTTTCTTTTGCGTCTGCATCATTTTGCAAAATTTGCAGATATATGCATTTCAGTATTCAACGTTCATAGAATAAATGTTGTCAATAGCTAGATTTCTATGCATCGTGTGTACAATATTTTTTTTATTAATCTTATAATATTTTATTGCACCATAGATTATTATTAAAGTTTTGTCCGGTTTTCATGAAATTTATAGTCCTCGTTTCACGTTTTAAAGTAATCCAAAACCGGCTACTGCTCTTCATATCAGTCGAAAATCAAGTTTGTTTGATAACAAATTTGTTATTTTCCATTTTCGAACGTTCAATGTTCAACAGAAATTAACGTAATATGTACATGTAATTAAAGTTCACCAAAATTGAATGACTAGGAAGGCAAGGCGAACAAAAAGGTTGTCGACATCTAGCCACATATATCATTTGTGCATTAATAGTTTCCTTAAAAAATATATTTCAAATAGATTTGATTAAAAATCTGAAATAAGACCGGCAAAATAGCAAAACTCTATACAAATCACTGTTTTGCCGGAGCCGGCAAAATAGCGCCAAGTAGGCTATTTTGGCCGAAGCCAGTAAAATATCACCCAAGAGGATATTTTGCCGGAGCCGGCAAAATAGCCACTGAATTTACAAATATGTTAGAAAAATGACGGATTGACAGCAAATACAATGCAATTTCCAATATAATTAATATTTCCAAATGGCATAGCTCTTTTAAAAAAAAAATTAATAGGCAATGATTTTCGAACGTGTCCATACGATATAAAATTTATGAAAAATTATTAAAAATTTATGGTATAGTTTCTCTGTCTGGTAAAACCCTCCTTTAGCAAATTGATTGATTGATGATTGATTGTTGATTGCTTAACGTCCAGTGGCAAATATTTCATGCATATTCAGGACGAGAACAAGTTAACAATAAATACAATAGGTAGGTTCTGTAAAAGGGGCTTCCGGGATTAAGGTCGGAGAAATTTAGACTGCCACGGGAAAAGAGGGTATATTGGATAGGGACAGAAATTTAGCCTTGCAACAGGTCACCTACGGACCCCTCAAAGAGTTGTTGCAAGGGTTCTTAACGTGCAAAGAGCGTGGCACTCGCTTTACACGAGACATCGGATTTAACGTCCCCATTCTGACCGGACGTGGCTGCAAATTTGTACATCCCGCACAGCCACACGGACGCCCCACTTTAGCAAGGGTTTTACTGCCGGTCGGAGGAAGACCTATGGTGACCATACTTCTATTCCCCAGTCACCCTTCGGGGGTTTAGCAAATTGAAGATTCTGCTTTATAAGATTTTTTTTTGTTTCCTGACAAGTTCCGTTTGCAGGAAAAGACCTCATGTAAGTAACCTTTGTGTTGTGATCCAGTCGAAATAAGTATATACAAGTGAACTTTAAAACTGGTTAGGAGCCTCCAAATTTTATTCAACTGTACTCATTGACCCGAATATTACCAATTTATAGGTAGCTCTTTATAAGCAATATTTATACATCTGAAAAATATCGCCGATAACTTGCAGAGACGATTGGCGTGAGAAGTCGATATTGTCTGCCAGCGACGTCGTGCATTTTAGCGCTAACGTTGAGGTTACCAAGTGGGGACGCAATTTTTAAGATAAATCGCGTTTATCTTCGAATCAAGCACGGTGACATATATTTTTTTATTTGAGATTTGGAAAAAGCATAACAAAATGCAGTCAATGTAGAAAAATGATAAAAATGACATTTTCAGAACCACTCTATTTCCATATTTTTATGTTTAAAAAAATCCACTTTAGGCATCTGGTCCGCAATGTCAAGCAAGGCTTGAATAACTGTATCGTCATTCTTGTAGGGATTTATTTTTTTCCTTATTGTCACTTATCACAGCTTCGGATTGAACCCGATCTTATTAATTTACGACGAAGAATATCTACTCCAAAAATTGTATAACATTGCCTAACTTTTTTACAAAATTGCACAAATACCCAATTTTCTGCCTCAATTTTCTCGAAAACAAGCACGGTGACCTATGTTTTATTTTGTGTTTTATTTTATAACTCGCCAAGGCCTACAACATATTTCAAATTTATAAAAACGACATTATATCGAGAAACTGTATTGGATGCCCTTAAGCTCTGTATACCAAATATATAAAGTGAAAATAATTTTGTTAAGTAACTTCATTAGGGCTTTTTTTATTGTCGTTTTATTTCCATTTCTTACATGAGCATCATAAAAATTAAGTATGACTAATTTCTTTTAATTTTAGTTCGATATGAAAATACCAATCGAGGTTTTCTGGGGAGAACGCTTTGAAAGATATTTGACGAATCTGAGATCTTTG